TCACTGAGGGTTTACCTCGGATCAGTGACATCCCCTACCTTCTCCTTCCTTTGGACTCCTGAAAATAAGTGTTCCTCATTGTGCCATTCCCATTTGGTTTTCCTCATCCTACCTTGATAACCTGAACCTTGAATTCTTGAAGACTAGAACCATTGATCATTATCGAGAGTTTTCTCAAATGACTCCCGTCATTTGGGATGTAATTAACTATAGGGGCTTGCCTCTATAGGGAACTTGGAATCCAGGTAAAATAAACCTTATATAATCTTTGTATTAAATAGGGGAATTTGTCAGTCATATATAAAAAGTTCGCAGACCAAATGGATGTCACAAATTTCTTAGTTTGCAGGATTGGGCCTATTATCTGGATCTACACTTTTCTCTTGGAATTTGTAGTATTCAGGGTGTCAGACACGATTATGCAAATTATTGGACTAATGAGATCCATTCGGTCTCATTTTTTTTTCAAAATTAAAACATACTACTTTTAAACTACTTTTAAAACTCAAACTAAACTATATATCTTTTATATTTAAATTAAATCTCAAAAAATATTTTCATATTCATATCAAAAAAGTTGACCGACACCACTCGATGCTTATAATGTTTTTGCAGATTCTGCTCACCCTTGTGACTCTAAGGCAACTTCTCCTTAATCCTTTCCTTCACCCCTTAATCTTTTTCCTCATCCCGAATCCATCATCATTTAAAAAAACTCAAACTCGAGCTCCCTAACTGCCTCAGTACCTCCAACCCGCCATGGAGGTTTTGGCCTCCGGTCCCATATTCGCTGACGTTACCGATATAGCGGTGATCGGCATAGCCAACATTTCCATGGCTGGAGATGTGGTTGTCGTGCTCATCATGAAGCTTTTGACCTTTGCAGGCATTTCTCTGTCGTTGTCAGAGAAGGAGTAGACATTGGAGAAGGGATCGGAGCGTCGGCATCGAAGAAGGCATCACTTGGGGTTGGGATTGGGGATTGAGTCAGTAGAAGCTAAAAATGTAAAAAGCAGGTTTTACTTGTTTTTTATGTTTTTGTAAACAAAATGAAAACCTTTAAAAATAAAATAAGAAAACTGATTAAAAACAACCATACAAACATGTTTTGTTTTATTTTTTGTTTTTTGAAAAAAAAAACGGTTCCCAACAGCCCTTTAATTTCTATTATAGTTTCTTTATCATTTTGGATGTAAATTTGTATAAATACATCATGCTCAGTAGAAACGATCTGTGAAAAATTCTTCTCCGAAATTATATTTTATTCACATTTGAAAGTATTCTCCTGAATGGTGGATGCCAACTCTGTTATAATAATCATTTCAGTAGTAAACGTCCTTTTAGTTTGTGCTTAATATTTCTCTGTTTGGACTTCTAAAGCTGTGCATTTTGCTCTTGTTGGGTAGAAAATATCTAAGAAGGAAAATCTACTATAAGAATGGTTTTTATAACTAGAAGACGTGAAAACAATACAGAAAATCCTGCACAGATCTTCGGAATATATTTTTAATTACTAAAACTAGTTGTATTTACATTTAATTGTAGTCAAATATTTGTGATTATGTTGTCAATGACAAAAAACTAAGGATATGTCAAGATTAGGTGATTAAGATAAAGACCTACAAAGTAAAAAAGAAAATGTGGTAATGCCTCGCATTCCATCTTTATATTTTGTAAGCTATTATTTGCCAACTCTGTGTCTATGGCTTAGTAGATTATAAGTTTAGTCAGGCTGCATTTTATGAAATAAATCGTACTCTCACTTAGAATTAGAAGCAACTCCATAACTCGGTCCTCATGTTGTGCTTTATGAAATAAATTAAACTCTCACTTAGAATTAGAAGCAACTACATAACTCAGTTCATATGCTTAAGAAGTCATTGAGAACTTGCACATGCGTAGTGAGGAGTTTTGAAGCATATTTCTTATATAAATGAAAATTCAGCTGAAGAAAATGGAACCAGATGAAACTTTTGAATTATAGATGCTCAACCATCAAATAACCACCTCAAGCAACACCCGAATGAAATAAATGAAAAATGATGCATAAAGATGATCCAACTATTTGAGATAAGGTTAATGATGATGATTTTTGTTTTGTTAGTTCATGGCATCTTCTACTAATTAAGAGGCAGCTATTAAACATTTTCTCGATATTTGCATGTAATCTATTTTCTATTTGGATTGAGCATTGCTATAATTAAGGGTGTTAACGAGATGAACCGAGCTTCAGCCATTCTTGACTTGAGCTTAATCTTGGTTAAAGTCAGCTTATTAGCCGACTTATTTATTTTTAAAAAGAGAAACTAATTTCAATTCAAAGAATTGTTGTAATTAAAGATTAAAAGAATAAACAATTAGGGGGAAATAATAATAATCATTTGATATGAGAATATAAATATAATTTTTAAATATTTGAATAATTTATACACAAACTCTTGAATTTTAATATATTTTAAGTGTATTTTATATTAGTATTTTCTTAGACGAGCCGGCTCAAAAGTTAATGAATCAAGCTCAAGCATGGTTTGTTAGCTCATCAAGCCTAGCTTATAGCAATTTATCGAGTTGAGTTTGATTTAGTTTACGAATAGGCTTGGCTCAATCACAACCCTAGTTACAGTCATTCATCTTATGTCTTTAGTGCTTCTTTATACCCAATACATGTTTATAAATTTATGTTTACTTTAAATATATGTATTCACATTTTTTTTCTTTTCTTTCAGTGGAAATGTTTCATGGAGTCCATTACAATCCTCATATGTTTCTGGTGGCATCTTAGCTGGTAAGCAACGATTCCTCGAAATTACATCTAATCTACATCTATTTAATTTAGTTTGAAAATTATATATATATATATATATATATTTATTTATTTATATATATGTATATCTGTATGTATGTATGTATATATTGGCATCATTTTTTGTTGTTGGTCAACCAATTGTAGATGAGATGGGCCTTGGGAAAACTGTTGAATTGCTGGCTTGTATCTTTTTTGTATATCTGTATGTATGTATGTATATATTGGCCTCATTTTTTGTTGTTGGTCAACCAATTGTAGATGAGATGGGCCTTGGGAAAACTGTTGAATTGCTGGCTTGCATCTTTGCGCATCGGAAACAGTCCGTTGAAGAATACGTTACTGGTGACGAATCTGAAGAGATAGGAAGCCAAATTAGAAGACGGAAAAGAGAACGTGTCGAGTGCATTTGTGGTGCTGCTAGCGAGAGTCGAAAATATGAAGGATTGTGGGTACAATGTGATGTTTGTGATGCATGGCAACATGCTGATTGTGTTGGATTTTCGTCCCGGAAGAAGTTATCTTTTTCACATGATGAGTCTTCCAAAATGGTTTCACATGCTAAATCCAAGTCTCGCCGTGATAGGAAGGGATCTGGTGATGTTATTGAAATGGAGGGAAATTTTACATGCTCTTTGTGCGTTGAACTTATGGAAGCTGCCAAGATTAAGATAGCTACTGGTGCAACTCTTGTAGTTTGTCCAGCTCCTATACAGGCACAGTGGTATTCTGAGATAATACGGTATTGTGCTCCTTTTTATCATGCACACTATATAATTAAAAGGTTTACTATATCTTTTTTTTTTATTATTGTGTTCTGCTTAGTTATTGTAGTTAACTGTCCACAATTATTTGCATTGATTGGAGAAGTTGTCTAACTTATGCCCAATACATTTCAAAACTGTTATTATATATTGTTTTTCTTTTTTACATAATTCTTATGTATTTGCATTTATAACATTTAAGAAATTAAAATAGATCCAATTCTGGTATTTATTATTCTTACATAGAATTAATTGTGTTTTTGCTGGCGACTTAAAATATATTTTAGATTTAAGAGATTTTGAATAATTCTATTGAAGAAACAATTGAAAACTTTTCAAGGGCCATAATCTAGTCTACAAATTAATTTTGATTTACATTTCATTTCAAAGTTTGATTGTTAAAAATGTTGCCAATTCAATTAAACTGCAGATTTTAAAGCATCTATGCTACAAGTAAGTGTGCATGCTTAACTTTGTGTACTTGTGTGACATGGTTACGAAAGATTAATAGACCTTTTGTTAGGGCACAGGCATAACAACTGCTCTTAGTTTTAATTCATGATTATTTTAGGAGATCCTTAAATTGGATAACTAGCAGCCCGAACTTTGGTTAAAGATTTAAATTTATGAATCTTATGATGAATATTTTAAGACGTCATGAGTAAATGGCTTGGCTGCTAAAGGTAGGTGACATCGATTTAGGGTTTTCTGAAGTTGGTGTTTGGTAGGATCGTCGTCTAGGAATGTTGTGAATGGATGGGAAGATTTTTATAATCATATTTGATGGAAAATGGAAATAGGACTGAAACAATGGAGGACAACGAGTCTTGATCGGGGGCATAAAGAAGGGCCGGCGGCTTGGTTCTTGAGGAGAGTTGTTGTCAGGGAGATCCACCACCTACATTCTAATAAGATGCAAATACACTACCTATAAGAGAAGGATACAACACTCCCAATGGAGAGAAAACCGGAGAGCCGCTCTCAAATTCTAAAATTAAATAACTAGTCCAAAGCAAATATATGCATATTCCCAAAGTATATTAACTCTAAACTACTAATAATCAAGGAAAGTAGACCTTAAAGGGGACTGCCCAGTCTTGGGGGTTGGAAATGATGAACCGGTGAGAGAAACTGAGCCAATTCTCCAGGTTCAGCATCTCTTGCATTCGTCTGAGATGGACATGAACGACACCCGCATCTGCTGGCTGGTAATAATTAAGAATGACCTTAGTAGTTTTGACTTACCCAAGGTGATCTGGTGAGTATATCTTCTTCTAAGTTGCTAAGTAGTCTTTAAAGCTATTTTAATTCTAGCACTTGTTGTCCAATTGAATTTTTCATGGCCCTGATAATGAATTTCTAACGTGATGTGCAAAAGCAGAAAAAGTATATTATTGTAACTATAGTGCCCATTTGAAATATAGATATTGATCAAGATTACAATCCTTCACGTGAATATTAAGTAACTATTCCACCAGAAGATATGTTAATGTTTTACATAAGTAGTGCTTTATGTCTATTCCTTTTACAATTATTTCAGTTAGTATCACCACAATTCTTTTTAGCCAACTGATAGCCATTTATGGGTTCATCTAAATTTTAGAAGCCTGCAGATGACCAAATAAATAAATTATGTTGCTTATAAGATCAGGATAAATTTTAAAAGATGTCTGCATAGCTATCTTGTAGCAAACTATGAGGTGTTTTCAACATATGGTACTCAATTTGTATTATTGCATATATTATTATCATTGTTTCTAGAATATATACATTTTCAAATCCTTAATCTTCAGTTTAGTATTGTTGTATTGAGGCACCCTATGTTAGTCATTGCCTTATTATTTATAAATGTGTTAGATGGGTTATGGAGTGACTTATTACTATATTTCGCAGCCACACGAGATCCGGTTCGCTGAAAATCTTTATCTATGAAGGAGCGAGGAATATAACAACTACAACTGCTCTAAAATTTGCCATGGATGAACTGGTAAAAGCTGATATTGTCTTAACCACATATGATGTCCTAAAGGAAGATCTAGCACATGATGCTGATAGGCATGATGGCGATCGCCATTTTTTGAGATTTCAAAAAAGGTTTTTGAGCTCTCTATCTGTTCTTTTAATTCTTAATTTTGGTGATTTGCTGTTTATCATCCTTGTTTTCACTCTTCTGGTAAATAAAAAGGAAGACTTGCATACATACCACTCAATTCTTATGTATTTACATATCTAACGCCTAATCTTTAATTTTTTACATATATGCCACCTTATCTATGTATGAAAAAGGGTATTTCACTTTTTAAATGTTAAAATAGTGGTATTTTTTATGTGATATGAAAGATTTGAGTGGTTTAAATGTAAAAATAATGTTTGGGTGCTAGATATGTAAATACCCAGGAAGTAGCTGGTATTTATGTAAAAACCCGAGATAAATAAATAGTTAGCCTTAATAAAAACATTTATCAGTAGCCAAAAGTAATAAATAAAAGTATGGAGTCTTTATTCTCTATTTAGCTATCATGTTATCCAATTATTGCTATTTCAATAATTTCTGAAGTATAAGTTAGCTGCATTTAATACAAGAAAAATAATACTTACCTACGATTGAGGGTGCTTCATATACCCACTATTGATGTTTACATATGGATTGTAGTCGTGTCCTACATTGGACACCAAAAATCAAAATATTGGTTATCAAAGGTGTATCGGTCGAATTTTAGTTGAATGAATCGAGTAAAGTTTGTCGTCAATCAGTTCAATTAGAATTTGTTCAGAAGATTTGCTAGTTACAATTCAACCATTAAGGCAAGACATCCTCTTATCAACACATTATGCTCAACAAAAACAAACATGATAATATGGTAGAAGTGTTCAGATGTAAACTGAAAGAATTGGGAAATGAGCAGGATAAAATGCATGGATAGGGAAAAGAGGCTATATACATACTATAAGGCTCATAAAATAGGAAAATCATAAATTGGAAATACATGGAATAGGAAATACATAGGAAATGAAACTCAAGGAAATAAAATAAGTAAAAGCTCATAACGGCAACATTAATCAATTTTAATAATTCCAGTACTCCTCCTCAAGTTGAAGCATAAATGTCAATCATGCTCAATTTGGATTTGAAGTCGTCAAACAACGGTAGGGGAAGATTTTTTGTGAGTATATCTGCTAGTTGACCACTGGATGAGACAAATGGAACACAAATATCCCCGGAATTGAGCTCCTCCTTGATGAAGTGACGATCAATTTCTATATGCTTGGTGCGATCATGCTGGATCGGTTTTTGAGCAATACTAATGATTGCTTTATTATCATAGAACAACTGTAGAGGAACAGAAACCGATATACATAACTAGTAGAACATGATCCGCAGCCAGAGAGCTTCAAATTTTCCAAAGGACATAAAACGAAGCTCGGCTTCAGCAGTGCTATGGGCAACCACCGATTGTTTTTGCTTTTTGAATTGACAAGGTTTCCCCACACGAATGAGCAATAACTCTAGGTAGATCATGAATCATGAACGAACCTGGCCGCATCAACGTCTATATAAACATTAATAGAGTGAGAGATATGACGAGATAACAACAAATCTAAACCCAGTGTGTCTTTTAAGTAATGGGGAAACCCGTGGACAACAGTGAGATGGTGCTCATAGGGGTCTTGTATCTACTGAATCACAATACCAACAACGTGGCAAATGTCGGGGCGCGTATGGGCGAGGTAAATGAGTTTATCCACTAAGTGTTGGTAGTTTGTTATGTTCACCAGAACTGTATTTGGAGCACGTGTCAATTTCTCATTGGGATCCATCGGAACAACAACTAGTTTGCAAAGAAGAAGATTCGTCTCGGTTAATAGGTCCATCACATATTTGTACTGGCAAAAACAATTGCTCCTAGAGGACCGAACAACTTTTGTGCCTAAAAAATATCTGAGAGACCCCATGTCCTTCATTTCAAAAGAGGCTTTAAGGATGCCTTTAAGAGACTCCAAGACTGGCAGATCAGTTACTGTGAGCACAATATCGTCAACATAGACGATGAGGATGGCAATATGACCACTGGATCAATGGACAAAGAAAAGATTATGATCCGATCGGGCCTGCGAGAACTCATGGCTCACCACTTGTCGAACCAGACCCAATGGGATTGCTTTAGTTAGTAGAGGGATTTTTGCAGTCGACACACTTGTCCATGAGAAGAAGTAGAGTCAAAGCCCGGAGGGAGAGACATATACACCTTCTTTGTGAGATCGCCTTTAAGGAAAGCATTCTTGACATCCAATTGGAGTAAGGGCCAATTCAGATTCACAACTAGGGATAACGGAACCCAAATGATGTTGAGAAGAAGTTATTCCCATGGACACCATTCGGCAGTCATCTCATTCATTACTGCAGCTTTCCAGGAAGGGTCCACCAGTGTGCCTCAATATTGGATGGAAGACGATGATCCATCGAGGAAGTGGCGAATGATTTGTAATTCGGTGATAAACCGTGGAATGAGACGTAGTTTGCTGTGGTATAAAGAGAGCATTCTGATTACATACCTCAATTGTAGAATTCTCCTCATTCGGAGCAGGCGTAATTCCCGTAGGTTGAGGGAGTGTAGTTCTAGGGATGATCCGTCAAGGAAGAGGCTAAGGGTTTGATCCATTGCTCTGATACCATAAAAGATTTGGGAATTGTGCAAGATAAAATCCATTGATAGGGAAAAGAGGTTTATATACGTATTACAAGACTCATAAAATAGGAAAGCCATAAATTAGAAATACATGGAATAGAAAATACATAAAAAGACAACTCTAGGAAAGGAAATAACTGAAAGCTAATAACGGAAACATAAATCAATTCTAATAATTCCACTACAAACAAATGATAATTCACAAATCATCCCATCTAGACCGAATAACTTATATCATGATTTGAATGTGTTGCTTTTTCTTCTTTTAAAGTCATGCTTTGGGGTGTTAACGGCTGATTTGAGCTGGAGCCATGCCAAACTTGAGCTTGGCTCGTCTGTCGAATTGTGAGCTTGAACTCAGCTCGTAGTGGCAGCAACCGGCTTGCGAGCTCGAATTAAAAATTCAAGTTGTATGGGAGCTTACTGGAGAAGTTATTGTGTCGGAGGAGGATGTAGCAGAAGCTCACCAGAAAATGCATTAAAATGACTAGTGTTAGGCTAACCGAGTTGGCTCGCGAACCAACGAGCTGAACCGGGGTGAGCTGGAGCTCGCGACTTGATAAGCTCGACTCCTGAGCTCGTTAACGAGCCAAGCTCGTGCCGGCTCGACTCATTTATACTCCTAGTCATGCTATTTAAAGTTATTAAACCTGTTTGGTATTGATAGCAATCAACCGTGGTAGTGTTAACACTTGTACTCATAATTCTGCTGTTTTGGAGAAAAAAAAGACGTCCTTCTGGATGTTGGCAACATATTTCTTAGTATGTTGCAGCTCAATCCTTTTATTGTTCAAAAGGAAACCAGGCAAAAGCTATCCTGGAGTGGTAAATGGAATTTTCTTATAAAACCTTTCATGAGATAACCTATGATTGAAGCAAAATGTCTAACCTATTCATTAGATGTGGTCGTGTTTCTTACATCTATGTAGTGAGTATTTTTGGCAGCAAATTCTGCAAGTTAATCTCACTTTTTCAGGAGAGAGAAATGTTATTATTTATTTTGACTGTAACTGTCTTTTTACTGCCATATCCGTGGTAATTGAAACCACATAAAATGCTGGATAAAATTAGGAGGGAATGGCATTTCTCCATTTACTTATATAGCTGTTTATTATTCTCTATCTGAACTTCAATATTATATTGTATCATCTTTTTAGGTATCCTGTTATTCCTACCCTACTTACAAGGATGCATTGGTGGAGAGTGTGCTTGGATGAGGCTCAGATGGTTGAATGCAACACAGGTTCTGTGACAGAGATGGCTATGCGTTTGCATGCTCATCATCGTTGGTGTATCACAGGTACTCCAATTCAACATCGACTCGATGATCTGTTTGGGCTTCTGCGATTCCTTAGAGCTTTTCCTTTTGATGCCCATAGATGGTGGGTTCAAGTTGTCAGAGATCCATATGAGGTTGGTAACTTAAATTGTTTATCGAGCCTTTCCTTAATGATGGTATTTTTGATGATTTAATCTTGTTTATGATTTATCTATAATGAAATATGAAGATAAATGTGAAAATTGTTAACATGGGGTTGTCCGCCTGAACTGACTGAACCGGTTTAGGGTGGGAATAGGAGGGCAGGCCGGTCCTCCTAGGGCTTGGGGTTGCCGACAAATGCGTGGGCCCCTCCTATTTTAGCTAGTCTATTTATTTATTTTTTCTACTTATTTTATGGGCTTGTTGTTTTTAGGATTTTGTCTAGTTTGCTGTCGGCGGCTGTTTTCCCATCCTAGGGGTGTATTCGAAGGCGAGAGGTGCTCCGACTGTAACTCAAGCTAAGATGGTGTGTATCTCCTGACTTCTTCCACGAGCTACTCCCCTCTTCCGTGGCCAATCTTCCTTCCCCCTTCAATCCAACCACAACCACCTTAATGATGGGATTTTTGATGATTTAATCTTGTTTACGGTTTATCTATAATGAAATATGAAAATAAATGTGAAACTCGTTAACATGGGGTTGTCCGCCTGAACTGACTGAACCGGTTTAGGGTGGGAATAGGAGGGCAGGCCGATCCTCCTAGGGCTTGGGGTTGCTGACAAATGCGTGGGGCCCCTCCTATTTTAGCTAGTCTATTTATTTGTTTTTTCTACTTATTTTACGGGTTTGCTGTTTTTAGATTTCTGTCTAGTTTGCTGTCGGCGACTGTTTTCCCATCCTAGGAGTGTATTTGAAGGCGAGAGGCGCTCCGACTGTAACTCAAGCTAAGATGGTGTGTATCTTTCGCTTCCTGACTTTTTCCACGACACGCAGGACTGCATGAAAAGGAGGTGGCAGGGTGTTGGTGGACGGATGGAGGGGTTAGAGAGCAGTTATGGCTGTAGGGAGAGGGGACGACATGGACAGCGGGATGAGAAGGGATGGCCGGTGGCTGAAGAGAGATAAGGGGGAAGAGGTAAGGAGGAAATCAGAGAGGATACAACACCACTTCGGAGCAGGATACAACTAAAACACCACCAGTCGTCGAAGGAGACTTCATACAAAATTTGAAAAGAACAATGAAACATAACCTAACCCTAATTCCAGAAAAACACATATATAGGACTAACTTGAAAAGTATAAAAGGAAAGATAGGGGAAGGTTTGGTGACATTGCTGCCCTTCCAATTTGCTGCTCGATCCCATAGAAATTTGGATCGACCCATCCCAATCGGTCTCCTTACCAGCTTATTCAGCCGACTGCTCCAGAAGCCCCGCGTCAGTCTCTCGGGGTTGGAGGAGGTTCGACCTTATTTGTCATTTCTCGTCTTCAACCTTAGCAACACCTAAATGCCACTGTCTACTGTATCTTCTCCCAAATCACCTAAAGATTTTTTCCCAATTGCAAGCAAACATCCATTTCGATCCAATCTTCTGGTACTGCTTGTCTCACATGTACTTCTGAATCTTCCCAATATAACCCACAACCAATTCATTCTGATGCAAAGTGTGAGTAACCCGAGCGTTTTTGCACTGGTAGTAAGTTATCGATCGTAACATTCTGAAATGTCTTCTGTTGTGTCTGTCTCGTGTCCGGAGTTGGTGTCTCAGTTCTATCATCCACTTTCGTCACCAAAATTGGTCTCATCGATGTTGCTTTGTCGGTAAGGGCTTGTCGGCGCTTAAAAGGGGGAAAGGTTAATGTTTGGGGGTCGCCCGTAAGAAGCTGTCGGTCGCCGAAATCGAAATCCCGTCGCCCGCTTCGGAAGGACTTTTTAATTTACGTATATATATATATATAATTTTAGAAAAATATGAAATCAAATTGACCTCATATTTTTCACAGTTTAAATGAAAAAGCGCTCTACCTCAAATCCTGTATCTATCCCGAGGGATAAACACAAGACTTGAGGATGAGGCTCGATCAAATAAACTA